AACAGTCTCCTTATTCTAATGTGAAACAAAGAGGGCAGAATCATCCGCATACAGGAAAATAGGGCATGAACAGGCAGAGTCTGTGTCATTTACAGTGCATTCGGTATGTATTCACACCCCTTCACTTTTTCCACATTTTGTTACGTTACAGCCTTATTCTAAAATCTATCAACTTTATTTTTCCCCTCATCAATTGGGGGAGAAGGGCCTTGGTCAGGGAGGTGACCAAGAACCCAATGGTCACTCTGACAGAGCTCCAGAGTTCCTCTGGGGAGATGGGAGAACATTCCAGAAGGACAACCATCTCTGCAGCACTCCACCAATCAGGCCTTTATGGTAGAGTGGCCAGACGGAATCCACTCCTCAGTAAAAGTCACATGACAGCCTGCTTGGAGTTTGCCAAAAGGCACCTAAAGAACTCTCAGACCATGAGAAACAAGATTATCTGGTCTGATGAAACCAAGATTGAACTCTTTAGCCTGAATGCCAAGCATCACGTTGGGAGGAAACCTTGCACCATCCCTACGGTGAAGCATGGTGGTGGCAGCATCATGCTGTGGGGATGTTTTTCAGCAGCAGGGACTGGGAGACTAGTCAGGATCGAGGGAAAGTTGAACGGAGCAAAGTACAGAGAGATCCTTGATGAAAACCTGCTCCAGAGCGCTCAAGACCTCAGACTTAGGTGAAGGTTCACCTTCCAACAGGACAACAACCCTAAGCACACAGCCAAGACAACACAGGAGTGGCTTTGGGACAAGTCTGAATGTCCTTGAGTGGCCCAGCCAGAGCCCGGACTTGAACCCGATCTAACATCTCTGGAGAGACCTGAAAATAGCTGTGCAGCGACGCTCCCCATCCAACCTGACAGAGCTTGAGAGGATCTGCAGAGAAGAATGGGAGAAACTCCCCAAATACAGGTGTGCCAAGCTTGTAGCGTCATACTCAAGAAGATTCAAGGTTGTAATCGCTGCCAAAGGTGCTTCAACAAAGTACTGAGTAAAGGGTCTGAATACTTATGTAAATGTGATATTTCCGGTTTTTATTTGTAATATATTTGCAAAAATTTATAAAAACCTGTTTTTGCTTTGTCATTATGGGGTATTGTGTGTAGATTGATGAAGGGGGAAAAACAATTTAATCAATTTTAGAATAAGGCTGTAACGTAACAAAATGTGGAAAAAGTGAAGGGGTCTGAATACTTTCCGAATGCACTGTATGCATAAATATATGTAGAAAGGGACTTTTTGGACCTGAATGCCAAAACATTCAAGAGATAAAGATGCTCAAATCGACCTATTTTGCCTACCCCACCATACCATGAGACATCCATGTCTTCATCACTGGAAAAGATAAACGGTTGAGATTGATATCATTTAAAAGCTTACAAACAGGGTAGTCAAACTTTAATGCGGCAATCAGCAGTAGAAACATTAACAAAGCGGCCTCCCCGTTCCTGGTTCGGTAAAAAGCTGAGGGATGGGGCTGGAGAAATGTTATCACTCTCAAATTCATAGACAGAGCTACGGATGCAAGGATTTACCCTCCATGATATCAAAATTATAGTTTTAACCAGGAAACCCTGGTGTAAAGGGATACAGTGGGGGAAAAAAGTATTTAGTCAGCCACCAATTGTGCAAGTTCTCCCACTTAAAAAGATGAGAGAGGCCTATAATTTTCATCATATGTACACGTCAACTATGACAGACAAATTGAGAAAAAAAAATCCAGAAAATCACATTGTAGGATTTTTAATGAATTTATTTGCAAAGTATGGTGGAAAATAAGTATTTGGTCACCTACAAACAAGCAAGATTTCTGGCTCTCACAGACCTGTAACTTCTTCTTTAAGAGGCTCCTCTGTCCTCCACTCGTTACCTGTATTAATGGCACCTGTTTGAACTTGTTATCAGTATAAAAGACACCTGCCCATAACCTCAAACAGTCACACTCCAAACTCCACTATGGCCAAGACCAAAGAGCTGTCAAAGGACACCAGAAACAAAATTGTAGACCAAAGTAACAAAGCCTACCATCAGACACACTACGCCGCCAGGGACTCAAATCCTGCAGTGGAACATGTCCCCCTGCTTAAGCCAGTACATGTCCAGGCCCGTCTGAAGTTTGCTAGAGTGCATTTGGATGATCCAGAAGAGGATTGGGAGAATGTCATATGGTCAGATGAAACCAAAATATAACTTTTTGGTAAAAACTCAACTCGTCGTGTTTGGAGGACAAAGAATGCTGAGTTGCATCCAAAGAACACCATACCTACTGTGAAGCATGGGGGTGGAAACATCATGCTTTGGGGCTGTTTTTCTGAAAAGGGACCAGGACGACTGATCCGTGTAAAGGAAAGAATGAATGGTGCCATGTATCGTGAGATTTTGAGTGAAAACCTCCTTCCATCAGCAAGGGCATTGAAGATGAAACGTGGCTGGGTCTTTCAGCATGACAATGATCCCAAACACACCGCCCGGGCAACGAAGGAGTGGCTTCGTAAGAAGCATTTCAAGGTCCTGGAGTGGCCTAGCCAGTCTCCAGATCTCAACCCCATAGAAAATCTTTGGAGGGAGTTGAAAGTCCGTGTTGCCCAGCGACAGCCCCAAAACATCACTGCTCTAGAGGAGATCTGCATGGAGGAATGGGCCAAAATACCAGCAACAGTGTGTGAAAACCTTGTGAAGACTTACAGAAAACGTTTGACCTGTGTCATTGCCAACAAAGGGTATATAACAAAGTATTGAGAAACTTTTGTTATTGACCAAATACTTATTTTCCACCATAATTTGCAAATAAATTCATTAAAAATCCTACAATGTGATTTTCTGGATTATTTTTTCTCATTTTGTCTGTCATAGTTGACGTGTACCTATGATGAAAATTACAGGCCTCTCTCATCTTTTTAAGTGGGAGAACTTGCACAATTGGTGGCTGACTAAATACTTTTTTCCCCCACTGTAGGTCCATTCTATTAATTATATTTCTATGATTGAAATGACACCCACCCTGTATTCAAGAGCATGTTGTGTCTCAAACGATGGCGGGCACAACACAAAAATCTCAGATGATGTAAAGTAGGGTCTAAGCTACAACATATGGGAATATGAAAAATATCAGAGTTCATGAGTTTTTAGATAATTGACGTTAAAAGTTAAAATATGTCAATTGTTATTAAATAACATTTTGACAACCCTGTTTGCAAGCTTTTAAATGATATTAAACGCAACCGTTTATCTTGTCTAGTGATGAAGACATGGATGTCTCATGGTATGGTGGGGTATGCAAAATGAGTAAACTTTGAGCACCTTAATCTCCTGAATGTTTTGGCATTCAGGTCCAAAAAGTCACTTTCTGACCAATTCTTCCATGGACAAACATGTATGGAAAGTTTTGTTTAAATCAAGGGATGCTGTCAAAAAGTGATTGAATTCAAATAGATTTACCCAGGAGAAACTTGTCATGCCAAGACACATGATGGATTCAGTTGGGTATTGCTATTGGGTTTGCTCAGCTACCATTTCAGCACTGCTGTCAAGAAACAATGTGGTGACACTTGAAACAATAGTCACGTTTTGAATTATGCAAGCATGCCAACGCTTGTACTTTTCTTCTGCAGATGAGCAAAACGCTGTTTATTCATTGCAAGCACTAATGTAAAACGTAACTGCATGTTTTATGCTAACTCTGCAAACTAAATGTTTGACAACCTTGCAAGTTGTTCGCACAAATACTACAGCCAAGGTCGGAATGCAAATACATGAGATTTCAGACGAACGCCTACGTGTAGGAAAGGTAACAATAATGATTATATGCCGTGCATGTGCAGAACAATCACACGTTGCATAAACTAATATTTCCACAAATGACATAGCTACTAAAACGTTTTATTTACAATACTTTAATTTTTTTTAAAATACCTCACACGTCCAGGCGTTTACCAATACTGCGCAACTGTGGAAGTGCTTCTATTTCCTTGGTACATCCATTGGTCGGGAAACAAAATAATGAGTGTATATCGCCCACTACCGTGTTGGAGTGTGAAGTGGTTCCAAACATGAGGACCCTTGCGCACTAAGCGCACCACTCCAAAATCAGGACGGGTTTCTTGGAGATTGTCATATTTCAAAAATACTGAACCTCCTCCCAATTTCGCTAATGCTCCCTAGTATACTTAGTGGTGAAAAATGCCATATCATTCCAAAACTGTAGCCTAAACAACCATGGGAGAAATGAAGACACATCATCACTTGTTGAGTAGGCCTATACGAAAAGCTTGGTGATGGATGATAAAACGGTTCATGGGCAATTAAGAAATGACATGATAGATGTAATAATACTAGTTGAAATCTACTGTTTTTGTGTTTAATATGACAGAGATTAATAAAACAAAATCATAGCATCCAAACGTCATTGGTCGTTCCAACTACCGTTTAGCTTAACAAATGGCAACAAGACACAGTTAAAACAATATATCAAGGAAAATCTTATGAAAGCGTATGATTATAATTATTATTAACATAATTTTATTAAATTATGATCATAGGAGTAGGGCTATTAGTGGTAGTGATGGGCATATTACAACAGCCGCACAAGTCTAGTCTTGTGAAGGTAGCCTATAAATTCCGTTATTCTTGACAAAGTAGGCCTAATTCGCACAACAATTAAATTGTTTTAGAAACATATATAGCCTAAGGATATTGTTCGTTTAAACATGGAAAGTATCAAGAACACTTTTGCTGTTTTTGTTGCAGCAATTTACCATTTCAGTCGTCATAGATGAACGAATTATACAAATATTATTCAGAATAGTTGGAGGCTAAATACTGAACCTTGAAATTAGAAATTGTTGTTACATTTCTAATAAGAGAAAATGAGGAGATAATGTAGGCAGGCCTACATTGGTTCCTGTCAAGTCAATTTCTCCTTTCAATCTTGATGTTCACCGTGTGACGTAATACGTGTAATCAGTGTTCATTGACCGAGACAAAAGCATTCCAACAGAAGTTTAAATTATAATGTTTATTTACTGAGCTCAGTTTTTACAGATATAACTGAATAATTAAAATAAGACCATGTATGTACACAGTACAGATACAGAGATATTTTATAAATACCAATATTCCTGCGTGTTCTTCCATCAGAGTTGCAGGACACGTGAACACTATAATTTACAATGATTTATTTATATTTCTTGAAAATAAAATCAATTTTATATCATACAAATATCCCATTTGTAATTGGTCTTAAGGTCTCTAATAGTAAAAAAGTACAAATTGTTTATGCACATTTGTTTTCTACAGTAATATTTCACTCCATGAAAAGAACACCGGATTTACAGAGCTTGCAACTGGAAATAAATGCGGCAAATGTACACATTCATAATGTTCCATAATTGTATGCACGGACAATTGAATATGAAAAATCGTCAATATTGAACAAATTAAACAAATGACAGACATTTTACAGTTCAAGTCAGCTTTCCGAGAGCTCAAGATAGGCCTAGTTGGTATTTTAAGGCACTTTCAATAAGGCTGTTTTAAGTACTTTTTCGTTGCATGGCGCACAGGGCTATATTTTACGCACCATGATATTGACGTTGTCTAGGCCTGTTAAAATTACATAAATGTAATGTTAATGCCCCCCTTTGTGTATAATCGAAATGGATACAAAAATATATAGGTCTAGTGATCAATTACACACATGCTGTTAGTTGCAAGTGGCAAACGGGTTGTGTTTTAAGGCCTCACGAGCATTACCAACTTGGCCATTGATAATTGCTCAACTATCAGAAATCGCTATCAGAAATATACAAAATAAGGCCTATAGGCCTTTGTTATAAAATGATCTTGCAATCACCTTTTCCAAAACGAATGTGGCCAACATTAGGCTAAGAATATCTAGGCGTGAGAACATGTCCCACAAGTATTGGACCTATTTGACTTTAATGAGCGTATACAACATATATCTTAAAATGATCTCTGTCGCTTAGACAAATATAGGCCTATGGGCTTTCTGGGAAATGATGGCTTTCTGGAAAAATATATCCATGTTTCAGACAGGGGGTAAAGTTAAGTGTTGCAACCATATTTGAAGACATAAATGACATATAATTTTCTCTCAAATGTAAATACACAATCTAAGTCAAGACAAATAATACATTCCATAGGTGACAGGTCCACCGAAGAGTCCCGGAACAGGTAAAGTGTGCCTGGGGTAGGCGTTAGAATGTCCGTAGAGAGATGGAGAGCCCATGTGCGCTCCCAGGGGGAATGGCAGAGCAAAGGCAGGTAGCATGGGTTTCGACGCCAGTTTGTACTTTTCCAACTCGGCCTCCTGAAGTCTCTTGGCTTTAGCCCTCCTGTTTTGGAACCAGATTTTGACCTGGGTCTCGGTCAAATTGAGGGAGTTGGAGAATTCGGCTCGCTCCGCAATGGAGAGGTACTGCTTTTGTCGGAACTTCCTTTCCAGAGCGAGCAGCTGGGAGGTAGTGAAGGGCGTTCGAGGTTTTCGGTTGTTTTTATGTTTCCTTAAAGGACATGGAGGTGGACTTAAGCTTCCTGGAGGGACAAATACATGAAAAGGTATTGTTATTAAATGGAAAACTCGGAAGGAACAGCTGACCCTTTAATACAACACATTTCACTGCACCTTGTGACAATAAAACATGATTTTTTTCATCATAATTAGTCTCACCAAACAACGTACGCATTTAAGGACTTTGACATAAGGTTTATACCTGCACCATGGATTTTAATGGGTAGGCCTACCAATTTCCCAATTCCAAAATAGGCCTATGACAAACTTCGGAATAGACAGGAACTTTGTCTAATGGTGCACCAGTTTAGACCTATCAGGCTACTCTGAAATAACATTGTAATATGTAGACTGTTATAGGGACATTTCGAGGCAAATTCTATTGATTTTTGGATAGACAGGCACGACCACAGTGATGACAACAGATGTGAAGTAGGCTTATAACGATCTAATATGTGAGGTAATAAAGATCTAATAAATAGGACAACATCAATAATAGACTAATAATAGAAAAACTATGAATAATACTACTGCTAATAATATGACTACTACTACTACTACTACTATATTATTATTATTATTATTATTATTATAGACAAACAATAGGGAATAGTTGGCCTAATTAGTTGACCAAAGCATTGACAGCCAAGAACTCTGGAAGGAGGGACTTACGAGGGGGAGTCGAGAAAGATGAAGTCTGGAACCAAGTGCTCTGGTCTTTCTCACAAAAATCTGGATTGTCCTCATTCTGACAGTCCGACACGCTCTGCGAACTTTCCGGGGAAACTTTCCTCTCTGCGTAAAAAGTCCTTGGAGAAAACTGTTCGGTGCTCTGCACCGCCGCCGTCACAGGCTTCGGTTGAAGTAGACCCGATTCCGAGGAGGGAGAAGAATAGTAATTCCTGCAGGTTGTGTTCTTGGAAATCAATGATTCGACGCTGAATGGAAGACTGCTCGTCTTCATTTTGTATCCTTTGTCGGTTGTCATGTCTTTGGGTTGAAGCTCCTCACCCTCCATATCCGACTCTTCTTTCTGGTGGAGTTTAATCTCGTGGGACGGAGACCCCGGTAGGCCAACGGGATTCATCTCAAAGGGATACGGGGCCATACACCTCCGCCTGGCCAGCTCAGGGGAATCGGATCGCGTGCGAGAGTATGGTGTCCGGTGCTGTCCTCGCGCTGTCAGAATATTGCCCAGTAGCTAAACTCACTAGATGGGGTCGTCTATAAAAGCGCAGTAAGTGTTCACCTCTCCGCGCCGTCCAATCATCGTCTCAACTTGGCCTCGTGACGTTCCCAGCTCTCCTTTCCTCCTTCCCCATTGGCCCGCTGCCTTCCAAGAGACATCAAGAGGCCGGTTGAAAGCGACAATAAGTTTTAATCATACAGACCCCGTGCGGAGCTGGTGCATTGATAGCTCAAGGGTTTTTTGTCTCCGCGGAACACAAAGTAGACCAATTTTAGCGCAATTAACCAGTGGGGAGGCCTCATGAGTATTTACATCCATTAGTTGAGCACTCATTGGAACCTTTCAATTAATTAATTTAGCACCTGAGAACGTTTTGATAAGATGCAGAAGAATGCGTAAAAGTAAATGTGGGTAAAGTTTGCTCAAAGTGTCAAAATGCTTTGTAAGGTTATGAAGGAATCCTTTTAAAGTATTATATAAGGCTAAAATAAAAAAATATGAGACATGACAAAAAATATGGGAATACAGAAATACACAAAGAAATTGATACTCATTAGAATATTAAAAGTCATCTAAACATTTATGAACAGACATAATGAAGAAATAAATCGATTTGCTATGACTGTTGGTCACACAGCATTATGCCAATTTAAAGGCCGTCATGGACTTTTTAAAGTTTACAATAGGCTCGGTTGAGAAGCAACAGGCGTTTTTTTCTTCAGGTCAAACTATTTAATAAGCCAGACAAGTTGTGTTTTGGAAGGCGCCAGCCTCTGCGGGATCAAAAAGGAAGCTACTTCGGGGAGAAAAGGGAACGGTTAACTCCACTTAACCAATTGTCCTCGAAATATTTCATAGTCCAGTGCATAGCTGCAGGAATGAGGCACAACCACGGACATTAAAGACGGTTAGCCTGTTTCACTTCTTGGAAGAAGAGAACAAACATGATCAGGTGATAAGAGGGGCAGTATTTCTAAAGTGTTTTTGAAAATGATTATATTTCCACAGAAAGAATACACATCGAGCAACATTGAAATGAAAATAGTCAAATGAACAATGAGGAATAAAAACAGAAATACAAAAGATCAGGAAAAAAAGACAATGCAATGAATATTGATTTTGATTTTTTAAATAAAGCCTGTTAATTCATCATTATAACAAATATGGAATATTTGGCATTTGCCATCAAATACTTTCCACAAAGTAAAGTAAAAAAAAAAGAAGACATTTTAAAGGGACAATTAACTGCCTTTAAAAAAATCCTTTCAATATTAGGAAAAATAAAATAATTACTTGACAGTTTGTATATCTGTGGTGTCCTGGCCTGATTTCATATGTGTAGACCAAGTTGTCTCTTATCACAAAACATTATTTTGTAGCACTTTAGAGTGGCAGCATAGGCCTTATGTGACCACATATTATTTCCACATTAATGCCAACGGGATTCATCTCAAAGGGATACGGGGCCATACACCTTCGCCTGGTGTATGGCCCCGTATCCCAGATTGCAGTGCCTCCAGTCCACAAAATAAGCTCCTAAAGTTTAGTCTCATTTCCTTCAGGGGCTTTGTAACATAATGATTCTCTCAGACGTTCTCCTTCACTAAAAGCATCACTTCGCCCTAGTGTCATTGATGTCAACTATCTTTCATGACGTGTATCATCCCAAACCGTCACCCTTCTGCACTCCCAACATGATACCACATTAAATAACATCATATAATCCAAGATGGGCCTCCCTGGCATGGCCAACCCCACCTATCTCAGGACCCCACTGAAAGCCTGCTTGACTTCCAACAGTCATCAGCAGGATCAAATACACAATTAAGACTTGGTAAAGTGCAAAATGGCCTCCTAGTAGGCCACAAGTGGGGGGTTTGTGTTAATTGAATTGCCCCATCGCTCTTAGGTTAATATTCTGGCAAGGAAGACACTTAGAGAGACAGAGAGAGTGCATGGTCACTCCAAAACACTGGAGACCCACTCAGCCCTCTTTGGATTGTCTTTGTTACTCTTCACACTTCAATTTACAGCTTAGTTGGATTAAAGGGTGAATAATTCATTATTTGAATCTGGCTCTTCATGAGGAGGCACGTGTGATTGGTTCACATCACTTGACTGCCAGCCAGTCATATTTGGTTTATGACCTTATGTGAACCTTAATAAAGATGCACTCTCAAACTTTTGTTTAATTTCAGCCACTAGTTTTGAAAGTGGTGCTCACAAACCAAAAGTGGTCCCCGTTTTTTGTGTGCGAAGTCATCCAATCGTGTACTACCTCATCCATTTCGTGTGATATGTTACGAATTTGGAAATTGTTATGATATCATCCGATTTTTGCAATTCGTGTGGTATGTTACGAATTCAATTAGTGCAATATGATACGAATTTGTTGTGCTTAAGATCCCCTAGTGCATCTTTAAGTCACAATATGAATGAACTTGTGTCACACATTAAGTGTAATTGGTCCACGTCACTTCATAATAAGTCATATTTGGTTTATGACTTTATATGACTTATGTCACACCATATGACTGTCATGTTTGGCCAACTTCCCAAACTGACATAGTTCTGTGGGCAATCAGGCCTTTCCTCAAAGCAACATAAGGACAGGAAAGATTGATTGATTGGTTTACTCTGCGAAATGACGTTGCCACGAGCAGCACCGCAGATATTGCGATGAGTGAGATGCACGACTTCACTTTCACACAAGGGTTCTTTGTAAGGCAAAGTGTTCTACCTAGAACCGTTAACATCCTAAGGAAGAAAGGATTCTTTGATGATTCTTTGGAAGGCAAGAAGGGTTCTACATAGAACCATATATAATATTTCCCAGCATGCTCTATTGCAGGGAGATTTTCAGAATTGTTTGTTTTACTGTAATATCTGTGTTTTTGCATGTACATTGATTGGTTGATTAATTTTATGCTACACAAAGATAAATAACATACAGTTTTCTAAACATCCAATCTGTTGGATTTATTGCACCCGTTACTGAGATGGTTGTTCCAGTTTCGATGATTGAGGTAGTCTCAGTATTCAATCTTCCCTACCCTGGCAGTCATTCTGAATGCAGGTTGCGGGTGATTAACAATTCCACTTGTTGGATATCCTAACTCTGGCTGGATTCCCATAGGAATTACACATAACTTTGCAAGCCAGCATAATGTGACTTGCAGGCCTGATGTGGCCTGTAAACCAGGAGATTCCTAACAACACTGTGTTTGGGTATAACTAGGCCCTCAAAGAAAGGCCTTATGATACATGCATTGTCATAAATAATACAATTTTATAGGCTAATAAGGCCGGTGGAACCGTTCATAGAGGGTTCTAGGAATAACCGTCCAAAGATAAAAGGGTTCTCGGTAGAACCTTTCATAGACGGTTCTAGGAAGAACCTTTCAATGATAAAGTGGTTCTTGGTAGAACCCTTCATAGAAGGTTCTAGGCAGAACCCTTCATAGAGGGTTCTAGGTAGAAGCGTATACAGGGGGTTCTTTGAAGAACCCTACATAGAGGGTTCTAGATAGAATCCTCTGCACAGGGTTCTACCCAGCACCAAAAAGGGTTCCCCTATGGGGACAAACCGAAAAAAAAACCCTGTATGGTTCTACTTAGCACCTTTTTTTAGAAGAGTGTAGGTCATATCACTGAGTCTACCTTTAACTGTAAATTCAAGGTTTCCACTTTTCCCAGGATCAGATTTAGCCTAGTCCTGGACTATAATAGACTTTCAATGAAAATTCTCCATTGAGAATGTTATTTAGTCCAGGACTAGGCTTAATCTAAGTCCGGGAAAACGACCCTAAGACTTGGCTCCAAATCTCACATATCATTCAAATACATTTCCAAATATCTGAATGAATAGTTACAATAATTTACACACCCCCCCCCCCCCCAAATGAGTCAGTCATTATCAATATTCGAACCGCTGTGACAGTTTGTCATAGATGTTTTTTCAAGCCCTAATTTGGGAGTCTACCCCTGCATTTTCATATCTAACTATCTGCCTCTCTGTCTCCTCTCTCTCTGACTCAACAGGCACTCTCCACAATCTCCTAGCCCAGCTGTTTTAGGTTGGAGATCCCAGCAACCATGTACCCTTCAGTCAATCTAATCTCCCAACTGTCGTGCGAGACGAGGATGAGAGCCGAATCATAGAGCAACACAAATCCATGCAGAGATTTACCCGATACAGGTACTACCCGTAAATACATCTACATGTGAATTTACAAGAAGTTACAGTAAAACGTTCCCCCCTGATGTTCGGCCGGGGTCTTCGGTTTCAGACTTTCAGACCCCTTCTCTCCTAGACCCTGAAAATGCATTTCTGTAACAGCATGCAGGCGAGTGAACTGTGTCAGATGTCATTACCGAGTTTGAAAGCAGATCTGTCCCCCAAGGTCGACCCGTTCGATGGGAAACACTTTCCTTCGGCACCCGAAATAAAAACTTTGTCTGTGTCACAAATGGCACCCTATTCCCTATGCAGTGCTCTACTTCTACATAGGGAATAGGGTGCCATTTTGGACGCAGCCTTTCTCTCTCGTATGGGGACATTTCCAATATTCTCATGCTTCGATGGAACCACTCAGCCAGTTCGTAAAAGCAGGGGCCAAGTTTGGGCAGAGAATTTAGACAATGTGAGAAAAATAACTAAGTTAGATCATCTTTATAAGGTTCAAAATGAGTGGTATGGAAACCTATATAGTAGATGACCCCTAATCTAACTCCTAGCTCAAGTAATACGTTTTTACAGCTGAATGAAAGCGTGACTTAGGCCTATTTTTCTCACAGTTGGAATGGCCCCTGACACTAAATAAGGACTAAGGAAACTCGTAAAAGTAATCAAACACAATCTAAATGAAATTAGATTTCATACACAATTGGATTTGTGTGTGAGACAAGGAAGGTACTGTAGCTGTATAGCTTGGAACCAGACTGAGAATTTCAATCTAATACAGTGCACTCTGCAGACAGTGATTACATCCTTAGATGACTATATGATCACTAAGCAGTTGATCACTACAACCGCATTCACTGTAAGCGTTGTGCACTGTACAGCAAAGCTGAATTCTCAGTCAGAAGGAACCCGGGGTAAAAGGTGCAGAGCTGAGCTGTCCACCAGTGAACTGTGAATTCCCTGTTGTAGTGATGTCGGTGCCTTGGTGAGGCCCTGTACAGTGACAAACAAACCGATCATTTAGAAAGTGAGGAAGAACTGGAACCCAATACGGGTGA